CAAGAGATTGGGTGCTGGTTTGGAAGCTCCTGCATGACTTCATAATTTTTTGTGCCGTGGGATGGTCGTATAGCGGGTGTGTCACATCTTCAGTTTGTCTCAATCATTATATCCTGCTCGCCACTGCTCTTCTGATGTCAGGCAGGCGATGCCAGCTAGCAGGTATGCACTGTTTAGGCTGGTAGGCTTCTCAATGCATTGGCAGCTATCATTCAGAATGGGGTCAAGGTGCTTAGCATGTATAGATCTCTCCCATACAGGGCATGCATACTCAGCAGAGGGGAAGCTGAGAGCCAAAGCAGCAGTTTGCATGGTTGAGGGGCTAGCTCCCCATTTCAGGTTGGTAAGTTTATATACAGCGTTTTTACAAATGCTCAGTTGCTTTTGTCTTCAAGATGTGTTCTTTGTATGGGAGGATTTGTTTGAGGGTGACTCCAAGGTAAACTGGATTTGGACAGAGGGATAGCGGGGTTCCAGACCATGCAATGTTGAGCTGGTGGTCGGCCTCATGGTTTTTCAGATGGAAAGCACAAATACTTGTGTTTTCCCTGTGTACCATGTCTGAAGTTACTACATTACAACATTAAATTACAATAGAGGTGGTTATTGAAGAAGATTAGTTTAGAACCAAGGAAAGGAAATTGAGTCAATGAGGGCATTTGCAAGAACAATTAAAATGATATATGATCAAGGTTCATGAGTAATTCATTTGTGAGATTATTGAATTAATTAAAACAAATCAACGCTGGAGAAAAATATGTAGCGTAGTATTTAAATGGTCTGTTAAACGTATTATCTTCCTTTCTCGGAATCAACCAAGATTATGCAACTGTGCCAAGTGCTTGTGTACTAAATATGGTTGAAACTTTAAGAGTGATGAGGAGCATGAGAAATGTATGAGGGGATGAAGGAATGTGTGATGTTACTTAGATTTCAGTTAAATTTGTAGGTTGGCTACAGACCGAAGGCTGAAGTCATTGCAGGACCCCTGGCACCGCTTTACGAGCACCCGTGGTGCTCTTGTGTGGTGCCAGAGGACTGGAAGAGGGCCAATGTTGTTCCCATCTTCAAAAAAGGGAAGAAGGAGGACCCGGGAAACTATAGGCCAGTTGGTCTTACTTCAATCCTAGGCAAGCTGGTCGAGAAAATTATGCTGGCACACATCCATGAGGGGCCAGCAGGGGATTTCATGCTTAGGGGAAACCAACACGGGTTCATCAGTGGCAGGTCCTGTCAGACCAACCTGGTGGCCTTCTATGATCAGATCACCAAATCATTAGATGCAGGGGTAGCAGTGGACATAGTCTTCCTGGACTTTCAGAAGGACTTCAACACTGTCTCTCACCCTGTTCTCATTAAGAAACTGGGGGACTGTGGTGTCGACACCCACACAGTCAAATGGGTCGCCAACTGGCTGGAAGGCTGCACCCAGAGAGTGGTGGTGGATGGGTAATTTTCAGCCTGGAGGGATGTGGGCAGTGGGGTCCCCCAGGGCTGTCCTCGGGCCCGCACTGTTCAACATCTTCATCAGCGACTTGGACGAGGGGGTAAAAAGCACCCTGTTCAAATTTGCTGATGACACTAAGATGTGGGAGGATGTGGGCACACTAGAAGGGAGCAATAGGCTACAATGTGACCTAGACAGGTTACAAGGGTGGGCAGATGAGAATAGGATGGGATTCAACACTGACAAGTGCAAGGTCATGCACCTGGGGAGGAAGAACCGGCA